GCAGGGTTAGGGCCAGCAGAGTTACTAAAAGGGTCAGAGGTTTTACTGGTCCCAAGGCTGCCTGTCTGGCTTGTAGGTCAGCCGCCCTATTTCCCCTCACTTCTGGTGAATCTCCCTTCTGGTGTCCTTTGCAGTGTATTAATGCCACTGCCTTGGGCTTCCACATAGACTCTAGTAGGGCTAGGATTTCTTCTTTATTTTTGATGGCTTTTCCCTCTGAGGTAAGTAGTCCTCTTTCTTTATAAATGGCTCCATGTACATGAGCCGTAGCAAAGACATACCAGCTATCCATGTAGATGTTAACAGTTTTTCCCTCCACCCAGTCTAAGGCCCTTGTCAGAGCTATGAATTCTGCCTTCTGGGCTGAGGTTCCACGAGGAAGGGCCTGGGCCCAAATAACCCTATTGAGAGTGACCACGGCTGCCGCAGCATACCTGACTCCATTGACCATGAAGCTTCTGCCATCCTTATACAGTACCTCCTCTGGGTTCTGTAGGGGGACGTCGGTGAGGTCCGGTCGTGCAGCGTGGAGGACGTCCATTGTCTGTTGGCAATCATGTATAGGCTTCTCTGACTCACTATTAGGTAGCAGCGTGGCAGGGTTTAAAACTATAGCCTTTAAAAACCTTATGGGGGCTGGTCCAAAAGTAAGTCCTGATACTGAACTTTGACATCCATTTTCCCGGAGTTCCAAGGAGTAGTGACTCTACCACATGGGGTGCCACTAAGTTTAACTCCTGCCCCAAGGTTAGTTTGTCCGCCTCCTTGACTAACAGGGCTGTAGCTGCCACTGACCTCAGGCAAGCTGGCCACCCAGAGGCTACGGGATCAAGTCTTTTTGAAAAGTAGGTGACTGCCCGGGACCATGGTCCCAATGTCTGTGTTAGCACCCCCTTAGCGACTCCCTGTTTTTGATGTACAAACAAAGGTTTAGAGATGTCTGGCAAGGCCAAGGCTGGGGCCGTAGTCAGGGCAGTCTTGAGCTTGTCAAAAGCCCGTTGTTCTATCTCTGTCCAAGTCAAGGGCTGATTTCTTCCAGTGCAGACATACAAGGGTTTGGCTATCTTGGCGAATCCCAAAATCCATAGCCTGCAGTACCCTACTGCCCCAAGGAATTCTTGAACTTGGCGTTTCATGGTGGGGGTGGGTATTTGCAGCACTGCTAGGACTCAGCTGGGTGTCAGTGCCCGGTTGCCCTTCCCTGTGATATAACTCAGCTAAGTAACTTTTGGTTGGCAGAGTAGGGCCTTTTTAGCTGAGATCCGGTAACCCAAAGTCTGTAGGGTCTTTAATAATGACTGGGTGGTTTCTTTACAGGCTTCCTGGGTTTTTGTAGTCAAAAGTAAGTCATCCAGTATTGTAGTAGGGTACACTCGGGGGACTCAGCTCGGAAGGTGGTCAGATCTTGGCTAAGTGCCTCATTAAACAGAGTGGGGGAGTTTTTGAACCCCTGAGGCAGTCTTGTCCAAGTGAGTTGCCCCAATACCCCAGTTTCGGGGTCAGTCTATTTAAAAGCAAATATGGGCTGGCTAACAGGGGCCAGTGGGATGCAAAAGAATGCATCCTCGAGATTCAAGACAGTTTAATGGTGGTATTCCAGGCCCAAGAGACTTAGGAGGGTATACGGATTTGGAACCATAGGGTGGACGGTTTCCACTCGTTTGTTTACCTCCCTTAAGCCCTATACAGGCCCATAGTCCTTTGTGCCTGGTTTTAAGACGGGGAGCAAAGGGGTATTCCAGGAGGACCTACAGTTAGTAAGGATCTCTCCTTTTAGGAGTCTGGTTATATGTGGAGCAATTCCCCATCTGGCTTCCTGGCTCATGGGATATTGTCATACCTGGACTGGAGTTGCCATTGCCAATGGACCATGACTGGGATAAAGTGACTTGCCAAGCCTGGGGAATTTGTCTCAGCCCACACTCCGGGTTCATTCTCTTGGAACTGGCAGAGGAGGTCTGGTGTTGGTGGTTGATCTGCCTCTGAGGATAAAGCTTCCTGCAAGAGATATTCCTCTGACAGAGCACAGGTGACGAGGATTTGCTGAGGTGGCCCTGATGCCAAGGGAGGAGGAATTGAGAGGCAAGCCTAGCCCTCACAGAAAGAAATATTTGCTTGAAGTTTGTGAAGAAAGTTCCGTCCTAGGAGTGGGTACAGACACTTTGGAATGACTAAGAAGGAGTGGGTGACGGTGCCATTCCCAGATCGAGTCAGCTGATGGTCCAAGGGCTTGTTGTGGTTTTTCCTGTGGTCTCCTGGATAATTGTTTTTTACTGGATAGTGGTCCCCGAGGCTAAGGACTAAGTGGGCCACCTTGGTGTCAACTAAGAAGCTGACAGTTTTGTCCCCAACTCTTAAAGTGACCCTGGGCTCCTGGGGGCTTAGTAAATAAGAGCCCCGACCCTGTCAATCCTGACCTTCTAAATTGAGGATAGCCCTCAGTGGCTTTTCCTGAGTGGTTACTCTTCTTTTTCTCTTGGGGCACTTATTCTTTCTAATGATTCTCTTCTTTACAGTACATACATTGGTTTCTTCCTAATGGGGGCTAGGGACCCCGGGGGCCCTTTTATAAGGCCTCCTGCCCTCACAGAATGACTCATGTCTTCTGAAGGGATGCTATTACTGCCTTAGTAACCTTTTTTGTCTTGTATGACTCCAGGAGCATTCCTGTTATTAAAAACCTTTTGGGCAATTTCCTGTAATTGGGTCAAATTCATTCCCTGGAATTCATCTAGTTTTTGTAACTTTTTCCTGATATCTGGGGCTGACTGGGAGACAAAGGCTAAGTTAATGGCCTGTTGATTTTCCAGGGCCTCAGGGTCTGTAAGAGTATAGGTATGGTAAGCCTCTTGTAGGTGTTCCAGGAAAGCAGCCAGCGACTACTGTGGACCTGAATCACTGTTCCTACCTTGGAGAGGTTGATGGGCCTCCTAGCCGCCCCCTTAAACCCTGCTAAAAGATACTGTTGAAAAGTGTTCAGAGCCTGGTGACCCCTCAAAGTGTTGGGGTCCCATTGGGGTCGGGTAGAGGGAAAAACCTTTTCAATTCAGTCCCAGTTTTTGGTTTTTCTACTGTTCCTCTCCCTGGACCTATGATGGATTTCAGGGCTTCCTGTCTAATTTTTCCTCTTTCCTCTGTGGTGAACAGAATCAGTAATAATTGTTGGCAGTTGTCCCAAGTGGGTCGATGAGTCTGGAGTACAGATTTTAAGAGCCCTGTCAAAGCCTGGGGCTTCTCAGAGAACGGGGTATGTTGAGCCTTCTGACAGAGGTTACTCCATGTAAAACCCCTCTGCCGCCTTAAGTTCCCCAGCCTCCCAGCAGGATCCCCTCCTGGGGAACTTTCCATCTCAGCAGGTTCCTGACCCTCCCCCTCTCCCATCTTATCAGTTCCCCAGCACAACCCCCTCTAGGAACTCTCTTAGCAGTTTCCTAGCATGACTCCCTCCAGGGTACTGTTAAACTCAGCAGTTCCCCAGCCCCTCCCCTCCAGCACAGCCACTCACACTGGATTCGTCTGCCAGCTTGCAGGCCATAAAAATCCCCTTGGCCACACCACGGGTGCTGTGCGCCAATTTTGGGTGCAGCCTGGCAGCTTTTCCCTTGCTCTTACTAAAGTTTGTTCCAGAACTTGGTATTTCAGCCCGCTCTTTAATTTCTGTCACCTTCCAGTTATATGATGAGAAGGGGATGTGAACAAAGAATGGGTGACCCTGATTGTCTTCTCCTGTTGGGGGCCGCCTCTCGGAGAGGAGGGACCGCTGGTGGGTGTGGAGCCCCACTGCCAGTGTGCAGGGGGGACAAGGTTTGGTTACTGGTACTGTCCAGGGGGCGTACTGAGGCCCTGGTTCAGAGGGCCTTGAGTAGGGTGGAGGTAATTCCTGATCCTCCGCTGGGTTGGGGAGAATGGCTGGCCCAGAAGGGGCTTTCTTTGGGTCGGCTAATATGACCTGAAGTTTAGCCCATTTTATGTAGCGTTTTAGTCATGGAGGGGGTTGTTGGACTAAATCCAATCATTGGTTAATGTATGGAAACTGGTCAGGGTGCCCAGGAGTTCCTGCAATCATTTTCCATACAGTCTGGGTAGTTTTTTGAGTCGTAGGTCCCAGTGTCAGGCCATCCAATTCCAAAAGACAGCCATTCTAGTTTACATAAAGAGTGGAGTTTTCCAGGGGTTAATTTTACACCATATTGAGTTGGCCATCATGCATTGGAGGGGGGTACAAGGCCGGGAGCTACACAATCCCACTTGGTTTTTCCTTTAGCTTTTGAATTTCCCCCCAAGAGATTTCACTAATTTAAGACTGGCTTCACTAAGGATTTGAACCAACAACCTTGCAGGCCCTATACCTTAAGTACTATGCTAACAGGTCACTTGCATTACAAAGAGTCAGAAAGCTTTCTGCCCTAATTTTGGATGCAAATACTGCATCTTGAGGCGCTGTGGCCTGCCTGAAAGCCGAGCAGGGCTGGCGGCCAGCAGAGAAAAAGAAAAAAAATATGCTTTCCGTGTCAGTTTAAAATTAAGCTCTCAGCCGCTTGGCTGGCTGCGAGTTCCCCGCCCCTGAAGCTTTTGGTAGCCTTGACACAGGGACCCTAAAAAGCATTAAATTTCTCTCTCCCTATCTCTCTCTCTTTTCACTCTCTCTCTCTCTTTTTTCTTTGTCTCTGTCTTCTCTCTCCTCTTTCCCTCCCCTACTGTCTTGTCTCTCTTTCTCGTCTCTCTTTCTCTTCTCTGTCTCTTTTTCTTTTGACAGAAGAGACAATCACTCCTTTTTTACCCTAAATGGGCAAAGAGGGCTGGTAGTTTCTTATTTAAAGTTTGATTCCCTAAGACAGAGAAAAAAAACTACTCTCAAGTCATCGGGGGCAGAATTTTCTCTCGGACGTGAGAAAAAGGAAGAATGAGGCCTCAATGATAGAATAAGGACAAGAAAAGGAAAGAGAACAGAATTATTTCCAGGGGTGTAAACTCAATCTGAGTTCCTTGAAGTCAATGGTCACTTAGCCAATGGAGAATATTATCCACCTCAAGAATAACAGGTCTAAACCACCGTACATCAGCCAACAGGAGTCTAACGAAACTGCTGAATCTACAATAAAGACAGAACCACATATAGGATCGACAGACAAAGGATGGGTGCCCCCCAGATGGGAGATCAGGCTGATGCCTGTCCGGCCACGTCTCCAGAGAGATGCTTCAGAGTTTGTTGGCCAAGGTGTACCCCTATAAACCCCAGGCCTGGTCACCTCAGAATTTTCAGTCCTGAGATGAATCACGGTAATGCCTTATGACGTCCCCGCGTAGCCTTCCAGCCCTGGAACTACATATATACACACTCACTCTCTCACTCACACCGAGGTTACAGAAAACAAGCGAAAACTAAATTACCCGAGCCTCCAGCGAGGTAACCTGAGCCTCCAGTGAGGTAATTTGAGCCTGCTGTGTGTCAACCCGAGCCTCTATTGAGGTAACCCGAGCCTCCCGTGAGGCAACC